GTGTGTGTGTGTATATACACACATATACACACACACACACACACATATATATATATATATATTATTATTTTTATTTTAATTCATTTTATTTTAATAAAATAGAACAAAATAAAAAAGTACATAACAAAATAGGTCAAATTAATTAATTCTAATAAATAATACATTATATTATTTATTATACTAATAAATAATACATTATAAATTCATTTTTGAAGGAACTAAAAGTTTAAAAAGTCTAAAAGTTTTTGAAAAAGACATTTATAATTAAATATAACTAAATCATACTAAAATAACAATAGTTAATTATTAGAGGTGGAATCGTTCACTTACCAAAAGCCAATCCGAGTATGATGACGCTGAGCTCAATAGCCAATAAAAAGAACCTTGTGATTTCCCAAAGCACCTGCAAACACACTGACAATATCAGAACCAAACATGTGTGTGTGTGTGTGTGTGTGTGTGTGTGTGTGTGTGTGTGTGTGTGTGTGTGTGTGTGTGTGTACAGTTGAATTAAAAATTATTAGTCCTCCTGTCACATTTTAATTCCTGTATATTTTTCCCCCAAATTCTTTTTAATGAGATTTTGTTCAGCACATTTTTAATAATAACTCATCTCTAATAACTGATTTTATCTTTATCATGATGACAGTAAATAATATTAGACTAGATATTCTTCAAGACACTAGTATTCAGCTAATAGTGACATTTAAAGGCATAACTAGGTTTATTAAGTTAAGTTAATTAAGGTAATTAAGCAGTCATTGTATAACAGTGGTTTGTTCTGGAGACAATCCAAAACAAATATTGCTTAAAGGTGCTAATAATATCGACCTTAAATAGGGTTTTAAAAAATTATAAACTGCTTTTATTCTAGCCGAAATAAAACAAATCAGACTTTCTCCAGAAGAAAAAATATTATAGGAAATACTGTGAAAATTTCCTGAATATGTTCAACATCATTTGGGAAATATTTAAAAAAGAAATTCACAGGAGGGTGAATAATTTAAACTTCAACTGTATGTGTGTGTATGTGTGTGTGTGTGTGTGTGTGTGTGTGTGTGTGTGTGTGTGTGTGTGTGTGTTTTCACCTTGTCTATGAGTGTGGCGGCGCTGGATGTGCTGACAGTCATAGAGACGATGGCGCGGGTGATTCCCACAGCTGCAACCACAAACACCTGGACAACACACAACACACTGATCTGAGGCCAGCTGCCAGAATTGGGTTTTCCCAGGTAAATTGGTGCTTCACAGTGGAAAATCCCACTGAAATGACAAAGTTCCCCTTTCTAGTTTCACATTCTGCGTTCAGTAAGGATACTTCAGTGAAATAGTTCAGACTGCATACACACGTCTTAATTCCATTTTGTGACTTTAGTCGGATTAGGGTCATCAGAAATCGATGTTTTCATTTACAATTGTATTAAAATCGTATTAAAGTATTGTTGCCCATGTAAATGTACTCAATGTTCGACTCAAACACACTGTCAGGGCTCTGCGAACTTGGCTTTGCGAAGCAGCATTTTCTGTATGTACGTACACCAAAAGCAATTATGCTATGGCTCATGCTTATTGACAGTGAAAGATACAAGTGAAATTGGATATACTTTGGGGGGTGGGGGTGGTGTGTCCTAAAAGTTAGAAAACCCCTGAGCTAGCCCAGGTGTGTCTGATTGGGGTTGGAACTAAACTTTGCAGGACACCGGCCCTCCAGGACCTTGGACATGCCTGGCCTAGTGTGAGTGCAGCCTTAGTCTCCATTTCAGAGGTCGCCACAACGGAATGAACCGCTAACTATTCCAGCATAAACAGCAGGAGTGTGTGTATGTAAAGAGCTCAGGATGTCCTCTTGAAGACAATAAGACCAGCACTGAGCTCTCTCTTTCACACACACACACACACACACAAACACAAACACACACACAGAGGTCGCCACAACGGAATGAACCGCCAACTATTCCAGCATAAACAGCAAGAGTGTGTGTATGTAAAGAGCTCAGGATGTCCTCTTGAAGACAATAAGACCAGCACTGAGCTCTCTCTCTCACACACACACACACACACACACACACACACACACACACAGAGGTCGCCACAACGGAATGAACCGCCAACTATTCCAGCATAAACAGCAAGAGTGTGTGTATGTAAAGAGCTCAGGATGTCCTCTTGAAGACAATAAGACCAGCACTGAGCTCTCTCTCTCACTCACACACACACACACACACACACACACACACACAAACACACACACAAACACACACACACACAGAGGTCGCCACAACGGAATGAACCGCCAACTATTCCAGCATAAACAGCAAGAGTGTGTGTATGTAAAGAGCTCAGGATGTCCTCTTGAAGACAATAAGACCAGCACTGAGCTCTCTCTCTCACACACACACACACACACAAAAACACACACAAACACACACACAAACACACACACACACAGAGATCGCCACAACGGAATGAACCGCCAACTATTCCAGTATAAGTATTTTAC